AATAAGTAATATGTAATAATTAAAATGTAAAAGATACCTGATTTTTGAAATTTAGAACATGTTTTTGGCATGTTTGAAATGTGTAAAAGTAAACAACTTATTTATGTATTCTTCCCTTTTTAATATTCAGAAATATTTGGAAAAAAGAAGAAAATGTAAAATTTTTGTTACAACTTTGTGGCCCTTGGACCGGCTCTTGAGTTCTAAACTTCTCTTTTCAGCGTAATGATACCATACAAATTGCAAAGAGCTCGTATCGATAATTTCTATTACGTCTCTTCTAATGAGATTTTAAATTATGGACCCATAACAACCAACCAGCAAGCTCAATTAGTCTAGCACTTTATTTCACTGTCCTACTTGGTCGAGCTGAGGTCATATATATGGTAGTCGAAATAATGCATCATCTCAAGGTGTCACATAGATGTCGATCCTTCATGATCTAGGCGAGGTGCCATAATCTACTGGAAAAGTGATCCGAGACAATTAGCCTCTCTATTGATAGAAAATATTTTTCACTTCACATCTTCCAAGATATCTTTCGTACAAGAATTATTTATGATTGATAGAGTGACACCTAGGAGAAGGTGCATCGACCATCAAGATGAGGTCACACGTCTTTTCATCCACCGGTGCTAATTCATTTTCTTCTATTGTAAAAGCTCGCGTTTGGTGTCATTTGAAAGTAATACAATTTTACACACTCGAAGTAAAATTACTCTCGCATGTTTGTTCTTTCATAAACCCACAGTGCCCGAACACTATTTTCACTCACGTTTTCAGCATGCCTTATACCCAAACATACTATACAAGTTGATTGATTTCACTATTGGAATGCATGTGACTGCTTTCCTCACTACGGGAGAAGGCCACGTGCTACCAATGATTTGTCTAGGTATGTGGAGGACGTTTACGTCACTTGTATAGAAATCGATGTCAACAATTTCAGTTTTTCTTTAATGCATGCACGGGCCATATTGTCACATACTGAATGTTAGTTTGGCACTAATGTCCATGATCATTGAAGAGGTCGGGTGCAATTCAATTTAAAGAGATCCAAATAGGTAGCATGTTCATGCATTGTGCAAAGAGTCATAGCTATAAAGTTTTGAAAATCAACTTTATGGAAAGCTTGCCTAATAAGTTAAGAAGCTTTCCACCAAAATTGAAGTGTATCCAAATCTATTTGGTTAGGGAACGAAGTGGACTTTAGGAGAGACTTGTTGCAATGGCATTGACGTAATATTACTAGGGCAATAACTCAGACTTTGAGTGTTTGTTAAGGGTGCAACTTTGAGAGATTGATATTGTTTCACTATGGAAGAAACAAAGCATCATTTGGAGTTTGGAGGAGAAAGATTTGAAAATTTTAATTCATCCACCCTTAATGTCTACCGGTGGAACTTGGATAAAAGTTGTCAAGAGGGTATGTGCCGATGAGTTGTTAACTAATCATCCTCGTGGTTTTGTCCTAGCATGGCGACAACATCCATGCATCATGCACATTTCTTAGTGAGTCTTGGACACATAAGGGTATGCTTTAGGTACATAGTAAGATGGCTAAAGTACCCATCTAGGGTCAACAGGGGCAGACCCAATCATTTAGCAAGATAGAATAGTTACATAGGGGGAGATGTATAATATATTCCATGGAATGCTATTCCAGGAAGTGATCCTCTACAAAGAGCAAATATTAATTTACCAGAGAGATAGAGATAAACTTGTGGACATAAAGGTTATATTTTCTACCCTTGGAATACATTTCCTGCACATAAGTATCATTTCCATCTGATAACCTAGGAGCCTTTGCAGTATCAGCATCAGAGATGACATATGCCATTTGTACAGAGCCACCTCCAAGATCAACCACTCCAACGGTAGACGGATATTCTTTACCCAAGTTTCCTAGTAGATAGTTGATTGTCACCTGCATAGACATGAAAAAAATCTATTTACTATATTAAAGAAGGATAGCTACAGCAACAGTATTCCCGCCCATAATTCTGGCCTCCATCCCGCTCAAGATAAAAAACAAAAAAAAAATTCTGTTTCTTGATACCGCCCAAAATTTTGAATTCAATCCCGCCCAACCAAACTCTGCGCAGACATTTTCAATTCAATTCCGCTCGAAAAAAAGAAAAGCTAACTCTGCCGATCTCCTCCCTAAGCGACTCTAACCTCTCTGTCTCCAAATTTTTGGTTTATTTTTCGATTTACTACTATGACTTGGCTTGTCAGCCCACCAGAAAGATTTTGGTTTACAATGACGTTGGTTGCATTTTAGTTTTTCTGTCAATTGGTGATTGGGAACATTTGCATTACTTGCCAGCAAATTTCATCTGAGTGAGTGTTGTTAGAAATTATATTTTAGAATGTTTGATGGTAAACTAATGGTTTGTGATTATTCATTCATAAAGGAAGGAAGGAAAAAAAATGATTATTCATTCATAAATGAAGGACCCATTCCTCCGCGTGTCTGNAAAAATATCGCCATTAATTCTTGATTGCATTTCTATCATTTTTAGGGGAAAAAAAAGAGAGAGACATTACAGTTTTTTGAGTAATTCGACCTTCACATACATCATCCTCTATTATCATTCTATTATCATAAACACTATTCAAGATTCTGGGTGCTTTGTCTAGGGTTGAAGAAGGCGTGGAGCAACTCAGATTCTGGGTGCTTTGTCTAGATGTTGCACAAAATCTAAATGATACTGAAGAATCGATATGGTGCTTTGTCTGTGAAGCTAAGCTATATGGAGTTGATGAAGGAAGAAGAAGATTTGTGCAAGGTATTAACTTTTGTGAGTCAAAATCAGTCGAAATCAATGTTGTTGTTGGATTTATCAGATTAGTGTGCTCTGTAGTCTGGTAACTTTGTTTAACATTTCTGAATGATCCTTGATTAAAGAAATTAAAGATTATCTTTCTTATTAAACTCAATTTGGTAAGATCTCTGGCTATTTGATTGCATATATTCTTTATTCAAA